TAAGCTATACACTAAACGAGAATTTAGGAGAGATTTATTTCTTCCAAATCACATTCATCTACGGTTTGCTATAATATATGATCTTTCCATTGTCACAAAAAGAATGAGTTTTTTCCCAAAGGAGGGTAGTCTCCAATCTTATTTCCCAATTAAGGGTACTTTTAAACTTATTTACCAAATGAGGGTAGTTTTTTCCTTGTCATCCAATTTGCGCCACATCACCTACTCCACATCATTCACCGTCATCAATCATTCCACGTCATCAGCCATATGGGTATTCTTTTAAAATATAAAAAAATCCGTAGCCCCCGGGAATTGAACTCACGACCAAAATGAATAAATCCGTAGCCCCCAGGAATTGAACTCACGACCAAAATGATGGATTTCCATCTTGGAACCCACTAGGCTACATTGACTTGTTGGTAAAACCACACCTTTACACGTATTTAACATCTATGTATGCAACGTATTTTGAATACGAAATTCAAATATAATTTAAAATAACTCTACATTAATTAAATAAAACGAGAAACAAAAATGACAACGGCTGGACTAATTCATCCCATATTTAATAAAAAAATCTTATATTACTAATGCGTAAACGTGTAAAAATATAAATTCCATGACAAAAATTAAAAAAAAAATCCAACACTGAAATACAATTTTTTTTACAATCATAATATAAGTATTTCACAAGTCTGATATGGATTTGAACCTATATTGACATTTTTTATTTTATATTTTATTTAGAGTATATTTATTTTAAGTTATTCTTGTATAGCATATATCAAATTACGTTTTTGTTATAATTTTTAATTGAGTTTTAATTTTTTAATTGTATATCTCATTAAGTATTTATCATATTCTTCTTTTAATGTTATGTTATCATATTCTTTAATTGTTTGAAGAATGACTAATATGTCTCTAAAGGAACGATTAATATATGAATTAAGTTGGTGATGTCATGTGCTTAAATATATAGTATGTAGTATATGTCAAATAAATGTCAATATACTTGTAAAATACTTATATTGTGATTGTAAAAAATTGTATTTTAGTGTTGGATTTTTTTTGTCATGGAATTTATATTTTTACACGTTTACGCATTAGTCATATAAGATTTTTTGTATTAAATATGGGATGAATTAGTCCAGCCATTGCCATTTTTGTTTCTCATTTTATTTAATTAATGTAGAGCTATTTTAAATTATATTTGAATTGCTTATATCAAAATACGTTGCATACATAGATGTTAAATACTTGTAAAGGTGTGATTGTACAAACAAGTCAATGTAGCCTAGTGGGTTCCAAGATGCAAATCCATCATTTTGGTCATGAGTTCAATTCCCGGGGGCTACGGATTTTTTTATATTTTAAAAGAATACCCATATGGCTGATGACGTGGAATGATTGATGACGGTGAATGATGTGGAGTAGGTGATGTGGCGGAAATTGGATGACAAGGAAAAAACTACCCTCATTTGATAAATAAGTTTAAAAGTACCTTCTTTTGGGAAATAAGATTGGAGACTACCTTCCTTTGGGAAAAAACTCCAAAAAGAATAAAATATATTGATCACTTCAATTTCTCCACACCTCACTCTCAACGAATCATCATGAATCATGGTCAATGTGGTCAACAAAGGGGACAACCCAGCTTTGGGCAAGGAAGGATCTATGCACGGGCTGTGGTAGGCTGAAGCCCAGAGCAACTTAGAAAATTTTCAAATTTTTAGTGTAAATTTTTTATTTTTCACGTTGTTTACGTCACCCCTCTAATATTTAAACCTAGTATAATTTTTATTTAGCCCAGGACATCTCAAATTCCTGGATCCGTCCCTGGCTTTGGGTGTCCAGAAGTGTTCATCCCTAATCAACGTTTATAACTTTTATATTTTTCCTTGAATATATTAAATATTGAAATATAACTTATAAAAAATGTCACGCTAATATAGCAATACCACCACAATCAAATAGTATTGAATTAAATATAACCATATTAACCAAAATTATTAATATAATATTTGTGTAAGAAGTCACATTTTATCTATTACATCTATTTTAGAATGTATTCAGATCATCATCATTATTTCCCTTTATATTACTAGTATAACCACATACGTAGTACTAAACTTTCACATTCTCTATAATTGTAATACATGAAATATGATTAAAGAGATTAACAGTACTACTCATAGCAATAAGCTGCACATCCTTTTAAGGGAGCTTATCGATCGGTTAAGAACCTCAAGTTAAGTGTGCTTGCACGAGTAAGATCAAAGTGCACGTTAAAAGCTTGTGTTGGTTTGTGAGGATAGTATTAGAAGCCTGGAGAATATATATGAGTAACTACCTCATACCACACGGGATTGGGGTGTTACAATAATAATTTACATCACAAGTTTTTTTTTTTGAAAAAAATCTCATAACAATATATTGTGTTCCTATTCAACCATGCTTGATGTACGAAAAGTTGAAAACTTTTAGAATAACTATCATAATAACTTAGTGACGATGTTACTGTTCAATTTTACTTTGTAATGGTGAACTAAATTTTATCAAAGAGGAGGTTTGTGATTGTTTCTAAGTATTAATAAAAGGGAAAATCCAACAAATATTACTCTTTGGAAAGTAGTGGACAAAAATGTGACTTGGTAACTTTTAATGATTATAATTGTGTTCAAATTTACTATGGTATCGTGACTACGATAGAAACATTGAACACAATTATAGTCACTAAAAGTTACTAAGTCACATTTTTGTCTATGATTTTTTTCTTAGTAATATTTTAGGAAAAACCTCATATTAAAAGCCCGTTTGGTGACTTTATCGTTCGTATTTGGCATGCTGAATTGTGTAATACTACGTAATAAAGATAAGTAAAGTTCGAGTTACTTTTCCAATCGAATTGGGTGAAATTGTTATATACGGTTGTTTTAGCCATTTTTCATACGAAGTATAGTTTTTTCATAAATCTACAGAATCAGTCAATTCAGCCACTTCAAGTAAAACTTCATATAAATCTGCGGATTCAACTGATTCAAAATTTTCAATGTTCAGAAATGAATAGAAAAATTTATTTGGTGGATGAATCGTTTTAGGCTTTGTTTGCAAGCACTGAAAAAAAGTGCTTCCCAACTTTTGGTTTTAGAAAGTTAAAGATAGTGTTTTCAAATGACAACTTCTACTTAAATTAATCACTTAAAAGTTAAAAGCTAGAATCTGTTTTTTACATTTTCTATTACACAAAAAGCACTTATTTTTCCAAACACTATCAACTTTTCCTTTTCAAAATCATTTTTTCTCAAATATTAGGGAGTGTTTGCAATTGCTTCAATTTTAAAAAAGTGATTTTTTAAAGTGATTTTGGTAAAAGTGATTAATTGTAAAAGTTTGTAGTGTTTGGAAAAAAGTGATTCTGAAAAAGTAAAAGTTGACAGTGTTTGGTAAAATAAGTACTTTTTGTGTAATAGAAAAAGTGAAAAGCAGTTTAAAGCACCGTTCTATCTGCTTCCAGCTTTTAGCTTTTAACTGATTAATTTAAGCAGAAGCTGTCATTTGAAAACACTTTTTTCAACTTTTTTTAAGACAAAAGCTGAAAAGCGCTTTTTTAAAGCAACAACAAACACTCCCTTACCAACTTTTACTATTAATCACTTTTACCCAAATCACCTAAAACCGTGAAAAAGCACTTTTCACTAATGATTGCAAACAAACCCCCAAAATAATGCACGCGATTGTAACTCTATGTTGTAAGACCCGAACCGGACCGACCGGTTTGACCCGGAACCCGGTCAACTGGTCATCTATCCCGTTCGGCCGAGTATCAAACCGCAAGTATGGTCAAAACCGGGATTACCCATTGACCCGCTGGAAGACGGAACCGAACCGGTCAAAACTCGGAAAATGAAACAACCCGGATAATACTTCATCTCAAAGATTCGAACCCGAGCCTGTAGCTACAAATGGAGACCTCCTGACCAACGCACTATGGTAGGTAGTTGGGGATTAAGGTTGTTTATTGTTTCTTACACTATCATCCTGGGATATATTTATTAAGTCTTAATCACTTAGTTTATTAATCAATTAAATTAATTTATAATAAAAATACGCATCAGTATTATTATTATACTTTCCAATAATGCATATACTCCATATTATATTTCATATTTCAATTATATGTGAAAATACCTTTCTATTATATTTTTAACATTTTGTAATTGATGTTATATCTATATATTTTATCCATCTACATTCAAATACATTTTTAATTTTGTTAATACTAACTCTAAAATAATGATTTCTTAATTGGATAATATTGTATCGTCATTATTAATTTATGAAGGAATAACACTTTTTACCTATGGATTTAATATTATATATATATATATGTATACACATATATGTATGAATATTAAAAATTATAATTATATATGTGTTGACCGGGTTTTCCGGTCGTTGACCGGGCTGACCCGCCGGATCCGGGTTGACCCTTGACCCGGCCATCGCTCCGGGTCGCTCTCCGGTCCGGTTTTTACAACATAGTTGTAACTAAGTTGTCAAAACGAAAGTTTACATGCATTATCCAAGGATTCGTATATGGTACCACCGGCTATACGGTGAGCACCGTACAGCCGGCCCAGTTATAGGCTCAATGGAAAAATAGAAAAATAATTCGGTGGCAATTTTTTAATTTTGATGAAAAATATGGGTTCTCTTGAATTAGCATTAACGCACTTTTGTTGAGTATCAAGACTGCTCTTTTGAGTATTAAGAGCCTAAAAATGAGCATTAGTGTTCTCTGCTTCATATTTCTAATCCGCTTTCTTTTTATTACTTTTTTCGTTTATAAAAGCTCTTAAATTATGTTGTAATCAATTCCAATTAATTTCAATATGTAAATTTAATATAGTATAATATGTTTGAAATGTGCAACATTTTAAAATGAGCATAAAGAGGTATCAAATGCTCTGCATAACTTAAAAAATGAGTATCAAAAAATTCAAAAGTTCATTTGTATATGCTCATTCATTTTGGCCTTTATACTCATTTGAGGTTAACATAATGTAGTATGATTCGTTTGAAATATGCAACATTTTTAAATGAGCATAAAGAGGTACCAAATGAGCATACATTACTTGCAAAATGAGTATCAAAAAATTCAAAAGCTCATTTGTATATGCTCATTCATTTTCAGTTTTATACTCATTTGAGTTTAACACAATACTCATTTTTTTATATGCTCATTCATTTTCGGTTTTATACTCATTTGAGTTTAAAATAAAACTCATTTTTAATACGCCCAATATTCATCAACTTTAATAAGCTCAATATTCATTTGTGTATGTTCATTCCTTTTAAGTTTATACTCATTTGAGTTTAATACTCCGTATAAACTTATTCCAGATTCATCAGCCAAGTAGTATGAACCTGGTATCCTAAATCATCCTTCAATCTGTCGTCTCCATATTCTTCTTCTCGCAGCACCGGCCAACAAACCCCCAAGAGCCACCGTACCGTATCTTGCGCAGCAGGAGAGATTGAGGAGAAGAAGCGGCGAAAGGAGAAGTCTGCCGCTAGGGCAAGCGAGATTGAAGAAACAGGGGCGAAGTGTTGGCGAGAACCCCAGAACGAGGGGGCGAAGACGGCGAAGCTATCGCTAGGGCAAGAGGCGCAGATGGGTAAAAAGGCCGGCTGTACCGTGACCACAGTACAGCCGGTTTTACGGTGTAATTTACTCATTATCCAATCATGTATTCATGTATAATCCCCAAAAATAAAAGAATACCATTGCTGTTTATTACACATAAATTGTGTCTTTGTTGAAGCATATTACAGTATAATTTATAAGAATCTTGAACTCTTGCACTCTGCCGGAAACCCAGAAGGAAACCTCTTGGAATCAGTACAATAATTGTAAATCATATGCTTGCTCTGCACCCATCTCAGCCTATTCCTCTCCCGAGCATTAATGTCCTGCGTCTGCCACGCCTGGTCGCCGTTGATCACATCCGTCGACGCCGTGGAGTCGCACAACGTCCGGCCACCGGAGACGGAGCAAGCGTTGACCCGGAAGTTCCGGTAGTACACCGAGAAAGGCGCCTTAGCCCAGTCAGTCTTGACCAGGCCCCCCTGCGTGGCCCAATCGTCAGCATTCCATAAGCTGCAGTAGACCCTCATGGGCTGGCTCTTAGGGAATGGGACCCCCATGCTTTCACGGTTGCGGTGGACTCTGATGGGAATGTTGTCCACCAGAAAGATGATTCTTTGGGAGTTCCAGACGACGGAGTAAGTGTGGAACGCCGCCGTGGGGTCGAACCAGAGGCGGAACTGCTGCTCTTTGCCTCCTTTCCCCTCGGCGTACACATTGGTGTGGACGGTGTACGGCTCGCCGGAGACATTTCCAAGAAATTCGAAATCAATTTCGTCATGTTTGTCTCCTAGTGAAGATAACTGCATACAAAATAATATAATCAGGGATAACTTCATTATTCATATTATTATGTGTATTGTTTTATAGATAGTTCTTCCTCGGTTCCTCTCTCCCAAATTGTAAAATATTTTACGGTTTATAATGATTGACCGACGATAAAGCAAACAGATCCATGTTCGCACTCAATTTTTTTTAGAAAAAAGAAATACATATTCTGAAACTACAGTAAGAGTTTGACAAAGCCGCAAAAATCAGAATCAAATTTCATAAAATTTTGATATGTGAAGTAAGAGATTAAGAGTGTTTTGTGTTGAAGTGAATAGGAAACATATCTTATAAAATGGGACTGAGAGAGTATTATATACCTCGGTTCAATTATAAATAGAATAGTTGAAAAAGTAAAAATTTTAGTTCAGATTTGAGTGTAATAAGTGAAATATATTGTAGGAAATAACAATTAGTTCGTTTTTTAAAACAATTCAAAAAGGAAAGATGACAAGTAAAATGCGAAGCAAGCAACACTACAAGTAGTATGAACTAGCATTGATTTGAACTCACGTAGAAAGTGGTGACTGTTCCGGCAGAGTTGTCGGAGATAAGCTTGAGCTGCATATCGAACCGGCCGAAGAGGTATTCCTTGGTGGACTGAAAGCCAGAGCCGGATTCTTTGTCGAGGGTGAGAGCCACCGTGTTGCCGCCGTCCATGAGTTTACCACGACCATTCCCGAAATACATTTGGACATCTTGGTTGAAGTTGGCTGCCGCTACGGTGGAAACTGCCGCTAAAGTTGCCACGAGAATCAGCTGTACCAATGGCTGAATGGGAGAAGCCATATTATAAATGGAAATTAATTAACTCAATTGGGTCTTGAGGGAAGATGGGAGATGTGAGACTTGTTGGGTGTCCAGCAACCAGAGGGTTGATATATATAGTAGGGTGGGTGCAAGCAATGAAATTCCTCCTGTTGTAAAATAATACTCCCCTTATTAAACTTTCAAATAGGTTTGACACACAGTTTAAGATAGTAGATATTATGTGATGGAGAGTTGTGCGGAGGAGAGATAAATGTGTAAGAATTGCTGTAAACCACAAATTCTGGCAAAAAAGGGAAAGTGGAAGTTTTATTTGGGACTAACGAAAAACGAAAGTTGGAAGTTTATTTAGGGACGGAGGGAGTATTCCCTAGTATAATGATGATATTGACCCGCGTCTATTTTCTAGCTAGTTTTTATACGGAGTATTATTTAAAGAGTCATTAAAAACTTTTAATTATATGTTTCGCACACCAATTTTATGAGTTTTTATCAAAATAAAAAATCTTAATTAGAACCTGTATACACTGAGTAGCAATGTAAGAAAAGTCTGTAACTTTTATCAATATAGCCCCTTTGGTAACTATGATTTTTGGCTTTTCAGGTTTATGAGTCAACATTCTCACCAAACACGTAATGTTTTGTTTCGCACGCTGAATTGTGTAATAATAAAAAAAAAGTAAAGTTGTAGCTGCTTTTATGATTATATTGGCTGAAGTTACTGTAAAGAACTATTTTAGCTATTTTTCATTTAATTTTTTCTTTATTTTATTAATAAAATATTTTGTTTATTACAAAGCAGCAGAAATCAGTCAATACAAACACTTCAACCACAACTTCATAAATTTCAACAAAATCAACCAATACAGCCGATTTGGGTATTACCAAACGGGCCCTTAATTACTCTTAATAACATACGAGTATATACCAAATATAACTAAATCAAACGATTAGTTTTGATAAAAACAACTATCACTTTTTTCTATTAAAATATTTTATTTTACTAAAAGCTTACAATTATTAAAATAATTCAAAAAACCTCCTTTTTTCAACTAGTTCTGCCAAAAATTATATACTACGATGTAGTTCACATTTTACAGTAACATTCTATTACTACCAATTTTAGGTAGTACGTAGTATAACTTTTTTATAGTAGCCATTAGAAAAAAGAAATTTATTTAGACAAATATGGTCATTATGGTGCATATTTACTACTCGGGTACTACTGTAATTGCAAAAACTAATTACACTAACAGAGATCGTCATTTTTACTAGAGTAAAAATATTTGTAAGTTCTAAAATATGATTTGTATATTTTTGAGGTTGATAATAAACATTACCGATTAGAGAATAAAAATATAACATTCTTCTTTTTGAAGTCCAAAATATTTTCACTCATACTTCATGAATTTTCCCTTTATATTAATGAACCTCTTGCTATTCTTCCCAAAGGTATTAGAGGGAGATTAATTAAGGCGTGTTTTGACCATTAGCAGGAAAAATCACAGGTAGACGGCAGATATCTTGTTAAACGTATACATCCTCCCATTCCTCCGATTTAGTACAAGACAGTTGTAACAAGGATGATTAGTCGTGGTCTATCAAAAACGAATTAAATAAGCAATAGACAAAAATGGTTGGAGGAATTCGGTTTTCTATTGATATGTCAGTATATCTGTCTGTCTTTGTGCGCGTTGATTTTGGGTATGGTAAGGGTGTGACTATGTGAGGCAGACAACATGAGCTGGTTTGTGGATGTGGAAAGCTGTGCGCCTTATTTTTACAACTTGCGAGTAAAATTTAATTTACATCCTACTATCTAACTGTTCGGTCGTTGTTGTGGTTGTTAGAAATGGGGTATCATCTTTTTTTTACGATAGTACTTCTTTTACACATAAGCTAGGTACATTTTGTGTACACACTCTTAATGAATTGCTTATGTACACATGCAATTAAGGAGTGTACATAAAATGTGTACAAATTATGTGTACAAATAATTTTTTTCATAAAATTAAGTGCTCTTGCTTCGAATGAAATCAAAGCATTATATACTCCTTTGGCATTTCAAAGATTAGTACAATAAATTTGGATACATTAATTAAGAATGAAATAGTTGGGATAATGGATAGTGTTGAAAAAGTAGGAGAAATGATTAAAAAATATGAAAGAAATGATAAAACATAGAAAAGGTAAGAGTAATTTTAAAGCAAAAACTTAGCAAAAGGAAAAATGTTGCAAATGTTTTAAATATGTCCAAAAAATGAAAGTGTAACAATTTTAAAAATACCAAAGAAGTATGATATACTATGTAGTTTCCTCTTTCTTTTTTTGGTTTGTTTCATTAAGATTGATCCATATGGCATTTAGTAAGCTTTGTATGATTTCAATAGTATTTTTACTTTATTCTAACTTTTTCAATTCAATATCTATTAGATTAAGTTACTTGTTTTGGAAAAAACGTCATCTTCTCTTATATCAGTGTTAGAGAATGAAAGTAATAGTGTTTAAAAAGTTGATTATGGGGGAGTTGAGTAAATGGATGGCATCAACACTCATATTTATTTCTATCAAGCGTTTGAGACATTCCTGAAAATAAGATTAGCTTGATGAAGGCGAAATGACAAGAACAATAAAATGAGATTCGCGACTCGGTAACGCTTGAGTCCCGTCCAGATCTAGTAGTGATCAGGTCCACTCATAAATGTTTATCGCACTGGATATAGCTTTGCCTTGCCTGTCGCCCTGTCCGGTGGGTTACCCAAAACAGATATCTAAGAGCCCATTTGTTACTTTGACTACTACTGTGATTACTGTCATACTGTGTAATCAGATCCATCCATTACCATGAAAATTGTTATGCTCTTATTCTCCAAAAGGTGGAATCTCCCACCGCAGGAGCCTCCCACACCCCGGTCCGACAAAATGGTGGAGAAGTAAGTCACGGTGACTTAGTCGGCATGGTGGCAAGGTTGTTAAAATCTCGATTTAAATCGTAAAATCGTACGATTTTACGATTCTACATTAATAAAGCGATTCAAATCGCAGGTAAAATCGTAAAATCATGAAATCATACAAAATCGTAAAAAAATCGTATCAAAATCGTGTAGAATCGTATAAAATCGTAGCAAAATCGTAGCAAAATCGTAATAAGTTGTTTTTGGTGAAAATGGTTCAAATTTATTAATATTAACAACTACAAATTGATACATAATTCCAATAATAATAATATGAATAGTTTATTTATAAAAGTAAAGGATTCTTGTGTTACTTAATTATTTTTATGTTTTACATATGTTTAATGTTATTTTTTTTTTTTTTGAATAAATATGTTTAATGTTATTATTCAATACATTTACATAATAAAAACAATTTATAAATCTTGCTTTTGACATTTTAGGTATAGTTTTATGTAATAAAATGATATAATATCATTAACTTGCAACTTAATTTTAATATTTATTTATTTTATAATTATTAAAATATGTTTGGTAAAATCTTACGATTTGCGATTCGATTTTACGATTCAATTTTTAAAAACATCTACCGATTCGATTCAAAAATACGATTTTAACAACCTTGCATGGTGGTAGGCCTTATACCCGTGTGCACCAGAGGTCCAACCCAGCACGCAGGAGTTGTAACATCCACACGGTCGCTGCGGGTTTCGAACCTTGGTCATTCTCCAAATTTTCCCACAACTGAACAGGCTAAGCTACCCATGCGGGTTTGTTGTCCTTTTAATTCCAACCGTGCTATAGGTACTCCATTTTGAGGTACTCCATTTTTAATCTCAGATCCAAATGATGTCATACTTCATTGTGTTGTCCCACTTAAGTGTGTTGACTTATTTGTGATCACACAATAGGGATAAAAACGGGTACCCCTTTAGGTGAGGTGGGTAAATGGGGTTTACCTCAATGGTAGGAGCGTGTGAGATTTTATCCCACACAATCGTGACTCAATGTTCATGAAGAAACTGAGTCAAATCCGGGACCAAATTTTGGGATGCTTTAACAATTTGAATGATACCATTATGGGCCTAAATAGTAGATCCATAAATGGTAAACTCCTTTCCGGAAAGATTTATGAATTGTTGAGAATTAAGGGGACGCCGAGAGTGTGGATGAGCTTCATTTAGAAGTCTTATATCCCTCCGAAGTTTTCATTCAATGTCTGGCTTGCTATGAGGAACCGGTTACCTACACAGGATAACCTTGGTTACCTACGTATTGTTAATCGTTGTGACCTGTGCAAGGGTGGATTGGAAACAATGCCACACCTATTTTTTTCGTTGTCATTACACTTGTAGGGTCTGGGGAAAAATTAAGGAATGGTTGGGCATGACTCGAGAGATGACCACGCTTTGCAGCTCCGTCAAATGGATCTTGAAGAATCATAAAGGATCAAAGATCAAAGGGAAGGCTGTCCAGATTGCGTTTGGTGCCGCGGTTTACTACCTTTGGCGCGTTAGGAATGCCAACCGATTTGATGAAGGAGACGTCAAGGAAGAGGAAGTCATTGCAAAAATCAAGCATGTGGTGTATAAAATACTTTTCAATTTATACCCGCATGACTTGATTAATTTCTGAATAGAAGGCCGTGGCATGGATTTTATGGATGCCGAGGTGTCGGATAGACTGCTACATGTTTGTTTGGTGCGCCGAGGCATGGAATATAATATATGCCACAGCTTGGGCACTTTATACACCACGGTTTGGACATCATGGATGCCACGGCGTGAAGCTTGGTCTTGGACTTTATGGTGTTTGATTTAGAAACACCTTTTGTACTTTGTTTGGAATTTAGCCTCTGATCTGTGTGCGTGCATGGGCAGCACTGATGTACTTTTGTGAACCTCTTGATGGGCCAAGTATTATATTTGGTTATTTTGGCATAGATTAGATCAAATAAAAACCTCCTTTCACCACCGCATTATGTGGGGGTGGAGGAGGTTTTAGGAGATCTAGGATATGTGATGTATAGTTTTTCTGGGTGTTAATATATATTTACATTTCATCCAAAAAAGCGGACTATCCAATCTAACTACGTAGTATATACAAAAGGAGGGCAAGTTTCACTTAGTTTTTCTGCTC